CGAACAGCAAGGAGGTGACGCGGAGTTGGTCCAGATGATGGTGGCAAGTGGGAAATGATGAGACCTTTGAGGCTTTTGTTATGGAATGCTCAATCCTTCCTCGTATTCATTTTAATGTCCACATAAAGCCATTGGGAGAGGACATCCATCAATTTGGGGTGAAGTATTATCAATATGCTGATGTTACCCAGTCATACATCTACAGGCCCAACGGGATATGCATTGGATGGCCTAACTTGGTACTTGGAGGCAGTGAGGATTTGAATGGGGAGAATCACACTTGACCCAAGGAAAATGAGAATACTGTGAATTAGAGAACCTACTGATATGAGGACTAGACTACCTTTGATTTAAAATGAAAAACAAAGAAAATAAGATGGAATAGTGAAAACGTAAGAAAGGGTACAATAAGTTTATGCACCAAAGACAAATTCCTTGTGTATCTGATCACACTTGGTCAATAAAGAATTCCATTCCATTCCATTCCATTCTAATATAATTATAACTGCCATCAAAAAGATTGGAAAACACTTTTTAAGAAACTTTTCTTTCTCTTCTATTTCTTTTATTATTTTCTTTCTTACGTTTTCACTATTCCATCTTATTTTCTTTGTTTTTCATTTTAAATGAAAGGTAGTCTAGTCCTCCTATCAGTAGGTTCTCTAATTCGCAGTATTCTCATTTTGCTTGGGTCAAGTGTGATTCTCCCCATTCAAATCCTGACTGCCTCCAAGTACCAAGTTAGGCCATCCAATGCACATCCCCTTTGGCCTGGCTGTAGATGTATGACTGGGTAACATCAGTATATTGATAATACTTCACCCCAAATTGATGGATGTCCTCTCCCAATGGCTTTATGTGGACATTAAAATGAATACGAGGAAGGATTGAGCATTCCATAACAAAACACTCAAAGGTCTCATCATTTCCCACTTGCCACCATCATCTGGACCAACTCACTTAGGCAGGAGAATAACCACTGTGAAACATTCCTTCTACTTCCCAGTCCAGAAAGATATTTTGATCAACATTACTGAATGCTGAAGAACAAATCAGTAGGATAAAGTTAGCAGTATTCCCTCTAACTAAATCTTGCCACAGGTCACCAACACAATTTCTGTCCCATGCCCAGGCCTGGATCTGGCCACCAAGGATCCAGATAATCTGTTTCCTACAGAGTCCTTTGTGACTGTAACCATTCTACAAGCTTCCCCAAGGTGAAGGAATTGGAGAAATAATCAAAAGATGCATTGCTCTTGGATTGCATGATCTAGTTTTGCAACTCTCTTAACTGGTGATATGTTAATTAATTGTTAATCAGAAATGCTCTCTGATATTTTGATAAATCTTATTTTACTGTATATCATTATTATGAAACTGTCTGAATGATTTTTTTAAAAAACAAGGTGGTATTACGCATGATGAATACTGATGAATTTACATTACATTAGTAATTCATGCAACAATATTTGGAGTATTCAGAAAAGGGCTATATATGGACACACAGAAACAGATACGGATATTATGAAATTCCTAGATGCCCAGGACTTCCTTTCTTTGGAGAATTGTTTGGGTATTTGTTATAGACCAGGTTAGACTACAGAGAAAGAAATCAATTTAAGAAACCAGCTCTCTATTTTATTTGGGGGGAGGGGTGGTTGTTTGTGGGTTTGGTTTTTTTAGAAAAACAGCCTTGTATTTATTATGTTGATTAATATAACTTCATTCATAAGGCTAAATGACTCTGAACACTAATCCCAAACAGAACAATGCTAATGTACAGCACTGGACTAGGATTCAAGTGACTCAGATTCAAATCCCCTTTCAGTACAAAATCCACTGAGTGGCTAGTAGTTTCAAAGGTAAAATTTATATTATGGAAATTGCTTTGAATTCTTGATGCAAATGCAAGAATTAAAAACAAAAACTCTTAATTTGCTTTACTTTGAATTCAACCTTGTCCCCGTGCACCCACATTTCACAGAGAATCAGGCTCCAATTAGTTTACCGTAAGTGCTGTGATACTTTGAGTAACAATATTTAGAAGAAATAATGGATAACGTATACACAGTTTAACAGATATCTGCCACAATGCAAGTTACTATCTGATGTTTATAAGCACATTTACCAATTTTATAATTCTGGAAGGTAAATCCTATACCTACGTTTAGTAAAGTTGCTCCAAAAATTATATGAATAAAATGCAACTAGTTTCACAACCTGGTTCTATAATTGTTTACTGGCATTCCCTTCCTTTGTCTCAAAACAGCACATTGTTACGAATGTTCAACTTTGCCCAAAGCTGTTCTTGGTATATTTTAATATACATATGATGTAATATAGAAGTTGCAAAAGTACTACATGTAAAGTACTTGCATACACAGCCTAAATATCTGTGACATGATTATATAATTAAAGTCCAAAGAAACACTGAAGTGTCAGACCTTTAATTTATACTTTTTTCTCGATACTACAAGCTATTTAAATGTAATTTTAAATCCACACCTAGCTATCACCTCAGAGGCAACTGCACATTATATGCAAATATGGGCAATGACTTTTTCTTTATATGAAAAGCATTCCCAGAATAGTGGATGATGGAAGGGAAAACAAAGTTACTCTGCACCGGGCAAAGTTGGGGGTGATCTTGAGATTTTTAAAAAGTACCCCCTGATGTATTATACATTTGAATTCGTGATTGGAAAATAGAGGTCTGTCACCACACAACCTATGTCAACTACACTGTTTTAAAACATTGTTTTAAATCTGAAAGAACCAGCTCAATGTGTGAACTTTTAGAAATGGATCTATCACCAGATATCCATGCCAATGCAAACTCCACAGCTGTTTTAATTACATTTATCATACACAACATAACATTTGCTCCTTCTGGATGGAAAGTACACAATGCTAAACTTAGGGATTTTGTTCCTCAATAATCTGCATATTCTTTCCCTGACCTGGAATTAAGAGCTGCAAAAAAAGGGAACAAGAGCCTGAAATAAATGGGAAAACCGAAACAGAAAGAATACTACCAGATGTTCATTTACTGTAGGTAGGTCTTCCCTTACTCACTGACGATTGTTCGGCTATCGTTCAAACTTATGACGGCTGAAAAAAAAAAAAGAAATTTGCATCTTGTCCTCAAAAATGCAGTCGTCCCAGTATCTCAATGGTGATGTGATTGCAAATCAGACAATTGGTGACTGGTACGCATTTATGAGATGGGACGTGGTGGCTCAGTGGCCAAGACACTGAGCTTGTCAATCAGAAAGGTTGGCAGTTCAGCGGTTCTAATCCCTAGCATCGAGCTCCCATTACTTGTCCCAGCTTCTGTCAACCTAGCAGTTCGAAAGCATGTAAAAATGCAAGTAGACAAATAGGGACCAC